TTTGAGATCACTAATTGACCTTGTCTGCGTTTAATCAGTTTTGACTACGATTCATTTAATCTGTATGACCTTGAGATGGTCTGACCTCAATACCCCCACTCAGGCTGAGTTGGCTTTGTCCAATGTCAGGCGGCAACCCATCAAGGTTCGACGATGTTGTTCCACCTTAGCCTTGCTCAGGGCTTTTGTCATCAAATCAGCTTCCATGAACTCAGTAAGGCAATATTGGAGTTCAACTGTCTCATCTTCCACTCGTTCTCGAACAATGTGGTATTTCATATCGATGTAGTTCGTTCGCTTCTGCATCAGAGGACTCTTGCATATCTTGATACAGCTCCTTCTTGATGACAGTTGGTCCGTGAATCACTACACCCATCTCATCGAGAAGTGATCGCAGATATAGAGCCTCTTGAACCACAGCTGCCATTGTTTGGTACTCAGCCTCACTGGTAGATATGGCTGCAGTTGGTTGCTTCTTGGTGCTCCAACTAACTGCTGCCCCTGCCTTCTGCAAATGAAAGCTGTAGCCAGTAGTTAACCTTCTATCACCCAAATCTCCAGCCCAGTCAGCATCTGCGGATCCATAAAATTTTACATCACCAGCTTCCCTAGTGTAGCACAGCTACAGATCTTTGCTCCCCTTCGGGTAAAGAAGAACCCTCTTTGCAGCCACCCAGTGCACCCTTCCCGTATTCTCCAGGAAACGAGAGAGTTGCGTCACAGTAGCTAGCCTATCAGGCAATGTTTGCTTAGTTATGTACAATAATGAGCCCACAATGCCTCTGTAGTCCTCAGCCTTCATGGATACTGCCTCTGCTGAGCCAGTTTCAGGGCAGCCCTTCTTCGACAGTTGTGCGCTCATGTCCGCTGGTGTACTGTTACCGTCCCAGGTGACCGGGATTGATTTACTGTTATCGTCCCAGGTGACTGCTCGACCTGCATTCCCAGGAACCAGGACAACGTGCCTCGTCATCCATCTTGAATCGTTCGGAGAAACGGCTCCTCAGCTTGTCAACTTCGTCTTGACATCTGCACCAAATGATGATGTCATCTACCCAAACCAGCACATAATTCTTGTATCGTTTGTTCCCCTCACCATGAACAAACAGAAGTCGTTGCTGCATCTAGTAAACCCTTCATCAAGTAGGAAAGTGCTCAGCGTCTGATACCAGTCTCTTCCTGCCTGCCGCAACCCGTAGAGACTTCGTTGTAGCAGGCACACTTGGCTGCCACCGCTGCTAAACCCCTCTGGTTGCTCCATGGTGTCTCTGCTAGGGGAGAGTTGAGGAAGGCTGACTTAACATCCATCTGATGAAGTACAAGACAATTTTGTGCCCCCAAAGCCAGCAGTATCCTCTTTGTTTCGGGTTTACAGGTTGGAGCAAACGTCTCATTGAAGTCAAGTCCTTCCACTTGCATGAATCCTTTCACTATATATCGAGCTTTGAACCACTTCACTTGTCCCCGCGCATCTGTCTTTACTGTAAGAACCCATCGTCCAGGAATAACTTTTTGAGATTGTGGTCTAACAACAAGTTTCCATGTTCCCAAGCCCTTGCTGCCAGTCACTGCTCCTTTTAGGCTCCAGACACTGCTTCGATTTTCGCTGGTTTTCGTCGTGCTTGGTTGCTCAACATCAATGCACCCCTCGATTGATAGCTCCAGAGTTTGTAATGGCTCACTGTCAACCATGAAGTCATCTGGAATGATGTTCTCATAGAAGGTCACGCTTCTAGCTCGCACCACTCGTCTTGTATCTAGATCCATCAGTAGGTAGGCTTTGCTCTCCACGTCGAAGCCCACGAACTTGCTTTTCTTGCCCTTTGGATCCAGTTTCCGTCTGTTGCCTCGATCCAGATAGAACGCCAGGCAACCGAACACACGCAAAGAGCTCACTTTAGATGGTTGCCCGTAGTGCATCTCTTTCAGTGAAAGGTGCTTCTCGTTGCTGGTTGTGAGACACAAGTTGAGAACCCTCACAGTTGTCGACATTGCTTGCACCCAGAATATCTTCGGTAGCTTTGCATCGGCCAGAAGACATCGAGTCATCTCGGTGATCGGTCTGTTGTAGCGCTCTGCTACACCGTTCTGTTGGAGAGTATTGGGCACAGTGAACTCTTGCTTCATCTGGAATTCTCTACAAAATCGCCTAAAGGCATTTGACGAATACTCACCTCTATTGTCAGTTCGCAGGCACTTTGGTTGTCAATACTCAGCCACAAACTCCTGGAACTTCAGTAGAGCATCACTATTCTTCACCAGGTACTTGACCACAGACAGCCGACTGAAGTCGTCGATGAAGCTCAAGGCATAGCGTGCACCATGCATACTCGGTACTTCAAATGCTCCCTGAATGTCACTGACGACCCGCTGCTCCACTACCGATGCTCTGCTGTCAGTCTTCTTAGGCAGTGCTACTTCACGCATCTTAGAAGCTGTACACACTTCGCAGAACTCTAGCTCGCCCACATTGACAAACGATGAAAGATCCTGCTGGTTGAGGTGCCTCAGTCGAACGATGCATTACTGGTATCCCTCTTTGTTTTCGTCACTACAGTCACTCTTGAAATTGCACTCAAGGAATAAAAGCTTGCCACGCTGCTTCACAGATAAATGTTTCTCATCTGGTGCCAGTAGATGTAACGCATCTGCGGCGAAACTGAAGCTTGAGCCTCTAGGCACAGCTGAGCTCACACTCATCAAGTTCACACTGTAGCTCGTCACACAACAGCACATTGTGAAAAGTGTATCATGGCAGTCCCTGATCTCCACTTCCACTAATCCTTTGCCCTCAATCCTTGACAGCGTGCCGTTGAGGTTCTGCACAGTTCTCCCTTCGTTCCAGCCCTCAAAGCTAGAAAAAACAGCCCTGTCGCGCACCACATAATCAGTGCATCCCGCATCCACAATGAGGTCGTCGCCTTTCATGGAAGTTGCAGCACAACAACTGAAGAACCATGTCCTCCCCTGCTTGCACTCCCTTGTAAAACGTCCAGGTTGCCCACACTTGAAGCACCCATGCTTCTTTTCTCCTGGCCCACTTGCTTCGGTCGACCCACTGCTTTGAGCACTGGATTGTCCGCTGTCACTTTTGGATTTGCAGTCCCTCGCCAAATGACCCTTCTGACCGCACACATAGCAGCCACTACTTGACACTCCTTTCTTCTTCCTCACAGCTTGCATCGCTATATGACCATGTCCAGTCCTCTCTCCACATCAAGCCTTCCTCGGGTCATCGTAGTTTCTCAACCTCATTCTCACTCTGGAAAAGTTTTGCTGGTTGAAAGCTCTCTTGCACCACAAAATTCTCATAGCTGTCAGGCAGCTCATTTATCGCCAAAGCATTGAACAATGTGTCCGTGATTGCTTCTCCAGCTTCGCTCAACCGCGTCATCAGTTCTTGACTGCGAACTATGTAGTCATCCAGATCCTCCTCTGATCCTAGGCAAAGCTTCGCAAGCTGACCTACTAGACTGACCACCGTCGGCTTCTCTACGCTGCAAAACTTCCCTTGAAGCAGCTTCCAAGCCTTCGTCCCATCGCCCTAGCCATCTGTTCCCACGAAGTCGTTCTTCATGTACATCAAAGTGGTGTTGTTGAGCGCCAGAGCCAGGTGGGACCACACAGTGTTTCGATTGTCTTTCCTGTGCTGTATCAACACTGCTCGCTCCTCCATCTTAGTATCGTAGGCTGCCTTCTGATCAGCATTCGGACTCTCGGAGAGAGTAGGCTCAGCCTCTGGCAGATCATAATTGCCCATCAGTGTCCTGAACAGGCCCTTGGTGTGCATCAGTGCCACAAACTTCATCGACCAAGCAGGGAAATCTTCAAACTTTCCACGAAAGCCGCCAGTTTCAAGTCAATCGTTGCTTAAGGCTGTTAACTAAAAGCTAAAAACTGTGACAGATAAAATAATACCAGAAAAAAATAGGAAACCTAGGCCCATAACCTGTTCACATGCAGAGTTAGAGCAACTGGGATTTAGAGCTGGGGTTAGAGACTGAGATAGAATCTGAGGTTTGAACTGAGGATTGAGAAGAGGTAGTGATTGTTGAAGAATGAATTGAAAGAAGTGAATATAAATGACATGACAAAATAAGCATCGCAAAAGTACCAGTTAATTAATTACTGACTAGGGAATTAGTTTTAGATCACTAGTTGACCTTGTCTGAGTTTAATCAGTTTTGACTACGATTCAATTAATCTGTCTGACCTTGTATGGTCTGACCTCAACAAAAAGAAGATAGTGCTTTTTAGCAAAAATTTTTTTCACTTTAGTCCATTTAACGTGTGAAACGAATGAAACGGTCAGTTTTTATGAAACTAAAATAAATGAAACTGTCAGTTTTTGAATACACAACACTCTTTAGAAGTTTCATTCAAATTTTGGAAAAAATATCTTAAGCTTGCTAATTGATTATAATCGATTATTAAGATTTTTAATGCTTAAAAAAACGGATCTATTTTACATTTACCCCCTCTGAAGAAAGAGGGCAATTGTTGTGTATACAAAGTAGTTACTTTTTCGATCAATCAGAAAGCAGAAAAAATACTTGGGGTGGTAAAATTGTAAGAGGACTGTTTTGCAAGGAATTGCGTGCCAAAAAAATGCATTTTTTGGCCAAAGTATTCCAAAAATGGCATTTCTGACCGTTTTTTAAAAAAAAATCTGATTAGCCCGCCCTCTAATCTGAACCACCCGCCCCCTAACCTGAACCAACCCCCACCCACCTGATCCAGCTTCCATTTCGTTGTCTGAGTGCAATATGGGAATCGATTATATTGACAAAATTTTAGACCACAAAAGTCCATTATAATTTGTTTATTTTCACTTTTCTTAGATGCGGGTAGCGTCGTCCTTAAGTCCCATCAAAAACAGTTGTCGTCTTAACGGCTGTCGTCTTATTTGCTGGTCACCTTTGGGAATGTATGTGGCTGCTTTTTATTTTAGGACCTATGAGCATAAAAACATCAGCTGAGAAAGAGTATCATATACATACTTAAAGCATCCACACTATCCATAACTTCCTTATATGGAAGTGACACTTTCCCTCCGCTCATACCGTCACTCGACCACGTAATTTTCTTTACTCTAGTCTCTCGTTGTTTTCGCATGACGTTCTCTCGGATCCAGTCAAAGTCGAACTTGCTCTCGTGTTTGTCCGACCATACAACTCTTATGGCCCCTTCATTCTTCCCAGTTAGTTCATGGCAAGTTACATCATCATTTTCGATCACGTCTACTGTGATTGGTTGAATGTCAATGTCGATGTTGTTAGTGCTGTGTATCCGTTGTTGACTGATTTTATTGAAGCTGCTTGGCTCCTGAGAATTGTCCCGAAGGTAAATGTTGCTGATTGTAACAGTATTGCCAGATAAGTTTGGAATATTTAGCTTAATGAAATTTTTACACCAAGAGACAGACATTTCAGCAGCAGATTTAACAACCATATTATCAAGATGAAGAAGATCCAACTCGCAATTGAAAGAAAAAACAAAAAAAAATTTCTGAATATTATTAAGAAAGACAATTTAAGAAAATAATTAAGTCCTTTAAGTCCCAAAATAATTAGGATGATTCAAGTTTCGCTAATTTTTGTCGCAAAAAGCTTATTATATTTTCCGACATTCTCTAATGACAAAAATAATAACTTCCTGTTCGGTTTTTTCTTTATAATTTAGCTATGCATAAAAAGTAGCAGTAAGTGGGTATAACTAGTTACAATTTCTAGATATAAGGCGGGGGATTCCCTCTCAAGTATTTCAACCTCTTCTTATCCGAATTGGCCCCCTTTGTCACTAGTTGAAGATTGAAGATGTACGTTTTCAGATGAACTACCCGCGAAAACGCAATTGAGGCATAATAAGTAATTGAAGCTGTGAACGAAGAAAATTCCGCCCATTGTAAAAAACTATAAAATAAAATTGAAATCAAAGACAATATGAAACTTTATAGGTAAGTGAAAGCTTTAAAAAATTTAATTTGCGTATTTTTTTCCAGGTGAGTGCACTGTTGGCTTGTATTAGAAAACATCTCAGAAAACCGTTGGTTTGTATTAGTAGACTGATGAAGACCAGTATTATGTCTCGTGCTAAAATGCTGCATATACGAAACAGCCCCATACAAAACATTTCAGTACAAAATGGGTTCAAAATATCAAAAAAAAATTCTTAAATTTTTTTCAAGAATTGAAGATCAAAGAACCAAATATCAAACTATAAGTCAGATCAAACTAAAAGGGCTCATGGTATAGTGGTTGAATATTGTAGACTCAAGCTCTAGAGATCAAAAGATCGAACCCCCGGCGCCACAAAATTTTTTCCAACTTTCCGAAAACAAGTGAAATTTGGGTAAACATGATAAAGAGTATATCTAGGGTACCACAGATAGTCGGGTTGTTGGGTTCTTATAACCAAAAGATAAGGATTAATTTTTAGTCGAGTTTTTGGTATTCGAAGTTTTGGGCCGGCTACTTTGCGTCTTGTGAACATTTTTTCTAACAGAACTTCCACATTCTTTTGTTTTCTAACAGAACTTCCACAAGTCAGCGAAGTTGGCTCTGCCATCTTTGGTCTTTTGCGTTGAACTTTATTTACAGCTTGCTGATTTGCAGAATAGCTTGGTAAATGAACAGCTGTTTCTCGTTTCAAATCATACTGGGCTCCGAAAATAGTCTGCGGTGATTGTACATCCGAAACTGCTGCTCGATCTTAAAGCGTTTTTCTGAACTTGTATTTTTCGATGTCAGCCGAATTGGAGAAGTGGCAATAATCTTTAGCGATCTCAATGGAGTCCATTCCAGTTACCTTGTGCGCAGCGCCAGAAAAGGGAGTTGTCTGACCGCGTTCGATGTTGAATAAAAGGATAGACTTTGAAAATCAGTTGACCAAAGTTTTTGTTCTTGAAAATAATTTCCATCGATTGCTAGAAAATTTCGTTTCTTTTGAGTAACGCCAAGTGTTCGCATATGGAACAACATGAACAGCTTTTCCCTTTTTGCATGGTTTAAATACAGTCCTTTTATTTATTTGCGTTTAATTTTATGTTTCGCGCATTATTGCCTTCAATGAGTGGCTGCTGTTTTATGTAGGTTGTTCTAATTTCTCTGTTATACTACTTATTATCATCCAGTTTAGTTGGTACCAAAACGTTTTCAATCCGATCAAACTTTTCTCATCAATTTCTAGAGCAGTTATCACTTCGATCAATGGGACTGTTTTTTGGACTATTTTCGGGACTATTTCTGAGAGTTTTTGTATGGGACTCTTTTTTTGTACTTTGCTTTGATTTTTCAGAATTTTATGTACAAGACTATTTTGTGTAGGACTGTTTTCTACACGCACGGTTAAAATGCATATTGTCCTAATCTTTGTCATTTTTTTTCAAATATTTTTGCGCATTGCATCCAATTCTTCTGTACCACTTGCGATCATTGTTGCGAATTTTTTCGAGGCAGTGACGAATTATTTGTGCTCGGGGTAGTTTTTCTTCAGAAAAACTTCATTATTTACTATTCCAAGAGCATTGTTGTTTTGAGCTCAATTTCAATAAAATATTTCCCCTGTGATTTTTTTGTTAAGTTATGGGGATTAAATTATTGCCACTTTGGTACAATCAAGGCGCGATATATTTTGTGCTATTAACGCGTAAGCGGAGATTTAATCCGTATTAGACTTTGTTTCAAGGTGGATTGAGGCATGCTCTTGGTCTAATTAATTATTAGTTTGCGATTGGCAAAAAATGGCTTAAAAACCGCTCACATCTTGCTTGAGAAACTGTTCAAAAATCACCGCAAGAAATGAGCGTTTTTTGAGCGCTTTTTAAGCAAGATTTGAGCGGTTTGAGCTGTTTTTCCAAAAAAAACCACCCAAACCGCTCAAACCGCTCAAATCTTGCTGAAAAACCGCTCAAACCGCTCATATCTTGAGCGGTTTTTGAGCGGGATCTCGACCAGGGCACAGATTTGGCAAAAAAACATTCAGTCTATTTGAAATTCAGACAATTCAACTTGTTTTTATCAAAAAACCTAAATTAGAACTGGTGGTAGTTCTCGGCTTCGGGGATAACCGACTCTAAATTTTATATAGTGTCTTCTAAAGATCGTATCGCTAGCAACACGTTGGCGCGATTGCGTAGGCCACTATCATTGCCTGAATTATCTCTTCCTGAATAGACTCTATATTGTTGGCTGAACGTCGGAATTTCATATCGGCTAAACTGACTATGGGCTATTTCTCTTAACGCGGCAAAATATATATTTTTGTACTTTTGTACAAAGCGTGTGGGGGATGATTTAAAAAACATCAAAAGTTTGATCAAATATTTTATTTTAAGTTGCTCCAAAAAAATTAAAACACCGTCAAAATCTATAATTTTGTACTGAATACAGCATGTGGGGAGATGACTTTCAAAAAAATTTCAGTATTTTTCAATTTTTCTAATTAAAAAATAGCATAATTTTGAGAACAATACTTAACGTGGCATACTTTACATCGGAATTCATGTCCACTTGTTGCCTTTCAACGCCAAACACTGAAATCCTCCATTGCCAACCAGGCGCCACTGAAAATGCATTTGCCCAATTTCTTCTTCTCAAAGCTTCTCATACTATCTGAAAAAAAATTTAACTGTGTAACCGTGCTTAGATTTTTGATTTTGAAAAGTTCAGTGAAGAAGCGCTATAGAAAACTGGCGCTGATATTAATTTGCTGACATTGATGGCACTGGCAGATCACGCTTCGCACTGATTTGGCACTGACCGCACTGATACCGTGGTCATACTGCCCATAGAACTTAAAATGATGTCTGAACATTTAGGGCTTTGCCCTGACACGAGCAGTCTTGTTTGACTGATTTCTTTATAGGTAAAACATACCAATTAGGACAATTGAATCTTATATTAGCACCGGAACAAAACTTACAGCGCAATAACAAAGCCGAAAACACCTGAGTAGACGCGTAGAACCGAATAAAAAAAATTCTTTCCACACCGCGAAACATTAAAATAAAAATCCTCTGCGCTCATTCTGTGCTAAAAAAATGATCCCACTAAGTCGAAATACGATAACAAATAGGCCGAAATTGAAAAACTAATCTACTGAAATTGGAGGTAACTCTTTAACCAACAAAAACACCATTCGAATAGAAACCTGCATTTAAAATGTAGAATGCTCAAACTTAGTCTGACCGTTCATTTCAGTCATCCTGCGAATAAAGGGTGCCAAAGGAGATCCCCTTTAGATGGTGGAGGGTTTGAACAAGTGGCGAAAACCCCACCCTCCCCCTCCCCTTCACCATTGAATCTATCTGAACTACTGGCGAAGACCCCACCCTCCCCGTCCCCATTGAATCCATCAAAGCAACTGGCGAAGATCCCATCGAATCGACTTAAGAAGAAAGCTGATGATGTTTAAAGTAGAAAGTTGACTTCAGAATAAAGCTGATAATGGCTAAATTTATTTAGATTTTTAACAGTATTAAAATAGGTCGATTTATTTTGTGAGCGATTCGGGCCAAAAAACACTCCCCAAAACCGGGAAAAGAATAAAGTTAATAGAAGAATACACCGGAGCTACCAAATCAATTGCTGCCAAAGTTATACCAAGTGAGCCTCCTATGAAGTGCAGTAACTTACAATCAAAACAAGTTTCAGAGGTTTGAAATTTCAAAATTTCATATCAATGCAAGTTCTGTTTTGAACATAGTTTATGTTGAACAACGATGTTTTTCAATGGCCAAAATGTTCCCAACAGAACATTACCCGCACTATCCAACGACGAAATTTTTCTAACTCCTTTTGTTTCAGTCTTTTTCGCTGTTCCGTATATCAAAAAACCATATTGAAATTTTGGTTGTTTTCACTTTTTGTATGCTTCTTCAGTTGGCGAAAAACTCCGAATAAGCGACCAAAATATTTCTTGAGAATTTCAACGTGATCATCAAAGTTCAAATTCCAATTCAATGCATTCCAAGTAAGCTAAAAGCCCACGCTTTCTAAATATTCAGGTTTTGTTTTGACTATATCAAAATTTTCTTGTCTATCTGGATTTTGTGAACGTAATTGTTTTTGATTTTCTTTTGTCAGTGTGATGAAATAAATTAATTTCAATTGGCCAATTGTCTACGTCCATCAGTTCTGCGCCGAGCGTTCTAATTTCTTGTTTATTCATCAGAGCTGTAACGTCAGCTCGAAGAATAGTATGAAGTTGATTACAACAAATACCAATATCGTTCATGTGAATGATAAAGAGTAGGGGGCAATGATAGTGACTTGGCGAACTCAAAACTTAATTTCAGAAGTGAACGGCTCCATAAAAACAAACTGACTTTTTTGTTCAAATGGTATTCGGTGAAATCATTCACCTTCCCTCCAATTCCAAAACTGTCTAGTTTTTGCTCTAATATAGAATGTTCCAATGTATCAAAATTAATTTCAAAAAATTTACATTTCTAAGTTGGAGTTCAATCTTGATAAGACCCTTAAAACAAAGCGAGAAAAGAAGGGTGTTTCAAAATTTTAAATTCGTTTCATTATTAATTCAACTTAATGTTTTTTCGCTAATAGTCAATT